GCACTCAAACTCGGTCTGCGGTATGAACGGGTCCGAGAATTGTATCGCATTCAAAGCGAAAGGCCAGATCCTCAGTCTCTCTGATGTGGACACCGGAGAAATGGCGGTTTAGGATTTAGGCTTCTGTCGGTGTCGCTATGGGCAGGATCCTGGGAAATTTGCTGCCTGCATCATTTACTTAAAACCAGCAAACTCGCATGAACCTTCCACTGTCCTTCTAAACTCGGCGTATTGCACGTGCCTTTTGCCCTCTAATCGGCCAGGACTCAATGCCAGGACGAGCAGCAAGACATCGATTCGACCCATGTAAGTATCGTGGTGCGAGCGAATCTCCTCTTAGGGGCTGAGTACCCTGGCCAAAGAAAAAGGTTAACCTTTTAAATTATAGTAGGGTATTTACAATATAAGCCTCAAAAGGTTAAAGGTTACCTACTCAGCCCCTAAGTCCTCCTTGACGTGGTCAAAGACGTCGAGGCGAACGGACTGCGACTCGAGCTGGTAAGCTCTCCGCGCCCAAAGGACCTGTGGTTAGGGTTTAGGGTTTAGGGTTTAGGGTTTAAGTCGGGCAGGGCCAACCACATGCAAAATCTTTCCTACGGGATTTGCAGGAACAAGTTCCGAGCTTCCCAACTTCAGTCCAGTTATGTATTATCGTATATTATAGTATAGTATAGTATAGTATAGTTTATGATGGTACATGCTAGTATATTATGTCAGTCGGAACCCTTCTTTGCCGCAGGCGGCCAGCACTCTAGATTGAACCCTAAACCCGACTCAGCACTTTACACTCTCACAACTCGGACAAGCCAGGCGAGGTTGCATAGGGCACTTTAGGGTCCTGGGCTGGGCTTCTCTTCCCAAACTTCTGCCTGCTCCTTCTGATGAACTTGGGCCTGTCCTATCTCCACCACTTGGCCGACGTTCTGCACTTGGTCCAGAACTGCCAGTACGGCACTTGCAGTCATCTTCTAGCACTGAAGGCCCCAACTGGCCGGCCCGGGCTCAAGACGAAGGCCCTAGCACCCAAAGCATGGCGGCGAAGTTCGGACCCTTCAAGCTGTGATCCGGATGATTGCGGACAATAGCAGAGGCTGAGCGCGAAAGAAGCTGAACTACAAGAAGTAGCAATACTGCAGTGACAGGGTGGGGGAACGAGTTCTTCTTACTATTGAACGCAGTTGTCTGTGGTGGCCGTCGCTGTAGCTGCGGTGGGGAGGTCCTCCCAGTCGATATTCCTGCACCTGTTGCTGGTCGAGTTCCCCATTCATCTTGGCGCGATGGTGGTTCTGATGGGTGTCAATTACTGCTACAACTACATGCTCGACGACGACGGCCGCTGCTATGATGGTTTTTCTGCTTCTGCTACTACTCCTACCAAGCCCACTCCTCGTGACTCGTCCTCCTCCTCTTCCTACTACGACAACGACTACTACGACTGCTGTCCCTTCCACTACTACTACTACTACTACTACTGATCACTTCCCCCCTTAATAAACACCGCCCCTAACAAAAAAAACACTGGGGCGAATCCTCCCGAACTCATTAGGGGGAGGATTTCGAGGCTCCAAATACCTTTAAAGCACAGTAAGAGCAAAGCAAGACTAGGAGTTACAGCAAGAGCAGGAGCGAGAGCAAAAGCAAAAGCCTGAGCATCAGCAAGATCAGATCGAAAGCCAGAGCGGGAGCAAGAGACGCAGCAGAAGCAGGAGCAAAAGCCAGCGCGGGAGCAAGAGCCAGAGCAGGAGCAAGAGCACGACCCTCAAAGGTGGCAGCAGAAATGAAAATGCCCTTTAACAATAAAAATACTCTCCGAGTTTCAATTGGGGGCCCCCTTTAATGTTAGGGGGAAAGGAGTGCGACGACGACGACGACTACTAGTACTAGTACTAGTACTAGTACTAGTACCAGTACTACTACTGCTACTGGTACAAGAAGTACAAACAATTCTAGTCGCACTGGCACATTATTCACAACCACCACCACAACCGCGGCAACGACAATGACGACGACGACGACCACCACCACCACCACCACCACCACCACCGCAACAATTTCAACTTCCAGCAGCAAAATAATCTGCTCACCCCAGCTCCTTGGACGGAGTGGATAAGGCAGGCGTCGAGGGGAAGCATGTTGCCTCCTCGATGGTCTCGCCGTCCTTCGCAAGTTTCTGAAGAGATCCGTCCGACCCGCGCTCACTTCCAGATTTACTTCGAAGTAAAAGGAGCTGCCAGGCGCAACAATGCTGTATCGCATGTCCTGCTCTTCTTGCTTCAATATTTAATAGACCCGACTCAGATTGCCTGCAACTTCCGCGCGTCAGGCTGCGAGGATGGGAAGCAAGTGACTTCGCCGACTTGCCTTTCTGCTTTGACCACCTGTCACGCAAGGAAGTCTTCCAAAGCTAAAGAATGTCTAAAGCCCTGAACCCTACCTGGGCCCTAGAAACCCGAGCTTAAGCAATTGCAGACAGAAAGAGATCACAATAAGGAGCCCTAACAAAAAGAGGTCTCTGGGGGTGTATGTTGTCCTATTCTGTCACATTACAAGCAATTGCATTACACTACAACAATTACATTGTATTATATTGTCTTATCTTATGAAATTCTATTCTATTCTATAATATATTCTATATTATATTATATTATATTATATTATATTATATTATATGGCATTATAACATATTATAACATATTATAACATATTATATTATTATATATTATAATATATTATAATATCATATAATATCTTATAATATCTTATAATATATTGTAATATAACATATTATATTATAGTATATTATATTATGTTATATGATATGATATTATATTATGTTATATTTATTATGATAAATTATATTATATTATATTGTAATATATTATATTATGTTATATTATATTATACTATATTGTAATATATTATACCGTGTTATATTTTGGTATGTTATATATTATTATGATATGTTATGTTATATTTTACTATATTAAGTTGCATTACATTATAGTCCATGGTACTTTACTATATCATTATATCATATTATATTCTATCAGTGTATTATGTTTTATTTGGTAATGTTTACTAGCTTATATCATGAGCCGGGCCTTTGGTTCGCCTCCTGCCGGCAGGGCAGTGGCCTCACCCACCTGCCACGAGGCTCGAAGTTTGAAGCGCTTTTGGGGGGCACAACTTGGCCAGGAAGACGAGCAATAATATCCCAAATCGTACTCCCATCTACTTATAGTAATGTAATATCCCAAAAAACCCGTAATATCCTAAGGCCCTAGGTAAATTATGGGAGCCCCTAGACTCTATTGCGGCTATTAAACCGACCCACGCAGATCCTCAAGTCGTGACCTTGCAGGCTGAGTGATGGAGGGGCCTAACACAATACCAAGACGATTTCTTTGGGTGGCTCCTTGTTACAATCATAGTATCTTGGGCCCCCAAAGCCTATTCTAATTATTCAGGCCTCTATAGTACCCTAGCTCCGCCACAAATGCAAACCTTTAGAACCATGCTAGGAACTCAGATGCAAACAAGCGTTAAAGGAAACCCCTGAACGCCACCCGATGTTCGAAGTGTGACCCAGGGGCCTGATCTCTGAACCATCATATGTCTCGACCAACTCCTCTACATACCGAAATGGTCACTGGGTGGCTGTGGTTTCTTCGAAATCATTCCCGCACGCCCTCAGACCTGGAAGGGTATGACAGCCACCGAATTTCTGTGAAGCAACATTGTGACCCGTCCGAAAGCATTGCTGTACGGTTGTTTTGGAGCCCCTGCGGTCATTTAACTAGTGAAAGCCTTGCGGATGGCTTGAGGGATCGTAGCATGCAGACTACTTCGCCGAACTTCTACACCGTCCCTCCCTTCGCACCATGCTTGCCTGTCTATCCAAGCTGCCTGGTGTTCGTGATCGTACTCAGCTGCCAGCACAGCCAAGGTCATATCCTTTTTTGCTACTGGACCCACGTCTGGCAAAGTCATGTCCATTGTTTTCAGCAGGACTCGGGCGATCGCCTGTGTATTACCACAACACACATCGCCGATCAATTCACGTCCCTAAACCTCAACCTCTCTGCAGCTGCAGCTTTAAGAACGATCGTACACGATGAATCTTTGGGCAAGATGCAGCTGCACCTCCGATCACACAAGAGACTTACATCCTGAGGAATGTACGGAACTGGATAGGTAGACGAGGGTTTTGGGGTAGTTGTAAGAGGAACCCAGATTATTGAGGCTTGTATAGTAGTCTCAAAACGATTATAGCAGCCGCCTGAAACCCCAAGCCAACATGATCAAGGCGCTCGACGTTCGCACTGTTTCACTGTTTTGCGGCATGCACTCTGGCAGCTGGATAGAACCAGTCTGTCACCCTAAACACATTTGAAATCAAAACTGGGTTCTTGTCTTGTTCAGGAAATTGGATTCCCGAACAAAATCCCAGCAAACCCTTTGAATCCGTTCATAAAATCTCTCGTCACTGGCGCGCTGAGCTCGGGCTAAGGCTGCTGACAAGGATATTTTCCCACCCGCCCAGCTGACTATGTCGCACTGCGGGGAACTCGTTCGACGATGGTGCAAGGCATTTGGGAGCCCATGCTCCCCGGTCGCATTATAGTCATAATCATGAGAGTCAAGTTGATGAGGATGATGATGATGACAAGAGCAAAGAAAATGGCTCCTGTCACTTTCTGCAGTTTATGGTCTTGTTTTGCACCCTAAATCCTAAACCCTGCACCACATGCCCTGGCACTGAACCGAAGGTGGAAGAGCAGGCGCCACTGGGGATGCCGGTATTACAACAGAGCAACCTCCAGCACACAGCTTTTGAGTGGCAGCATTAACATATGAACCGTAGATGTCGGCTAGCTATGACAATGAATTTAGCCCAGGCGCACGGGCCGCACGGGGCAGTGGAGTGCTGGCACGTGACTGAAAACCTGTTCTAATTCGTCACACTCTCTTTATGGATCCTCCTTCCTGGAGAAGAGAGCCTATTCGCAAATGGCACGATGTTTGGCCACCCAAAACACCTTATGTGTGAATGTGGCCAAAAGTGCCGATGCAATGATGAAGCTACCAGGGACCATGATTTGCGCAGCTATGGACCACTCGGACGAATGAAAAACCGTCTCAATGGTGAAGATGTACAGCAACACGAATGCAGCAAGAATGGCGGATGGGACCACTAACACGGCAAGGCTGAAGAGCAAATCCAGCACCCAACAAGCTTGCTTCGCGCGGAATTTGTAGGCAACGCCAAGACCCATCAAGACGAGGCTGGGTATCACCAGCAGCCACCATGCCAGTCCACCGAGGAGAACCGGCACGCCAAAGAGCGCCTCATCGTGGGCGACGAGGGTAGCCAGCCGATCGCAAAACAGCCACATCACCGGACTGCAGGCGAGGACGATTTGCTGGTATAGGTACACTGGACTCGTGAGCCGTTGAAGCAGTGTAGTCCGAACATGCCCCTGAACCAAGTGTTCGAAGTCAGTACTGCTTCCAAACCAGATTCCGATACATTTCAGCATGATCTCACGATCGCAAAACAAAGGCTCGCCAGTTTCGTCGTCCACGTGGTCCACGGTGCAGCACCAGCACATCGCATCCGTGACTCGGAACTTGGCAAGTTGCTGCTGTAGCGTGTCTAGGTTGCAACAAAAATTTCGGGCAATATGGACAAGACAAAGGAAACACGGCACGAGGCCTGTCGATAGTGTCAATGTCATTGCTTCGAGGCTGCTTCCGAGTGCATCAATCAAGAGTGGCCATGCAAGAAGTAAAACAACCAGGCCAGCCTGTCCCGCGAAGAATACCGGTCCCATGAGGTTCGGTCGAATGCTCAGATGCTGGCTTGCTGTTGCGCTGTGCTTTCGGCTGCGAAGAAACGAGGCCAGCTCGAACACACACCAGAATCTCCTGGGCTGACGATCTGAATTTTTATCCTGAGAAAAGTGAATTTCTGGCCACCTTACACTCACTAACTATTCCAAAAAAGCGAAGCCCAAGTCCCAAAGGGTCAACAAGCAAAGAGCAAAGTCTCTGTACCCAACTCGGGTCCCACAAAACGAGCATTGATGCTGAGCTCTTCAAGATTGCGCCCATGCTGATCATGGCCTCGCCCTTCAAAGTTTCGTCATCCTGGTCTATGCAAAGCAAGTCTAGGAACACAAGCCTCCGCACTCGCCAGCACATCAAGGACAAACAATAGAAGGTCACACCAATGAAGACAGCCCATTGCGTGGTGCAGAAGTTATTTTCAACGGTCGCAGGCAAGGCCCCTGCGGCAAACAGGACGAAGCCCAGGAGGGCTCCCGCCATGCCGAAGGCAGCCGCGATGGCGGCAGTGTTCAAATAACATGCGGTGACATACTTCATCCAGCCAGATGCATGCCAGCTGTGGGACCAAAACTCGTCGATGCGTCTTGTTGGGCGGCTGAGTTGGTATAATCTTCGCCGACCCAGCCTCCCACGTAGCGCCTGCCCACAACCCTGCAGTGCGCAGTGCACAGGGACGCCCCGAATGATTTCGGACCTGGTGGGCTCCATGCTGGCTATCCTGGGTTCTTGTTACGGGACTTAACTTAAGTTACCATAACAAGGAAGCCATATTATTTACTATAGACCCCTATTATGGTAACTCAAATTTTATTCCTTTTCAAGACCCAGTATCATGCCCACCATCTGGTCCTCCGCTTCTATGGCAGGGCTTGGCGATGTCCAGCCATCAGACGGCTCAGGGACAAAATTTCCCGCGTCACGCTCAAGCGGACGTTTCTGATAGTCAGGCAACTCCTCAACTTGCCCGAGAGTTTGCGGGGCAAGCTCAGGCAGCACTGCCATGGCACAATTGCGGTGAGACTAGGAGATTCAAGCTCGTACGATTCTGAGGATCGCCCCATGCCCTGAACACCACATTCGTTGGATCGATGATTCAAGTTCAGGCTTTGATGTCTGGGCCAGTCTATCTGGCCACTGAAGCTCCTTGGGTGAAGCGCCTCAGCCTGTGAGGGCTGCGGATCGGACCTGCAGTTTTTGGGTCTGGATCATGTGGCAGCATGCTCAACTCGCTTTACTGTTCCTGTACCACTCGGCAGGTGTCACCTTCTCATCTCTGATTCCCTTGGCTGTGCCAGGAGCTGGAGGGGCGAAGCAAGTGACTTCGCGTGGGGCCTGGGCTCCGATCGCGGAACAGTGACTCCTGACTCGTGCCTACATATGATTACCATGTTGCTTGCACATTAAGACAAGGATCCATGCACGCTGCTCCATGCTGTACAACGGATGAAGCAAGCATCGTGCAAGGCAGGGCTTTGATTGGTTTCCGGCTCGTCCGGGATTGAGGAAGCACATCACAGGAAGAATCTCCGAACTGAAACCCCATGAGAGGATTCAAGTCTTGTTGCATCCCGCGCTGGAGATGCGCATATATTGCGGAAAATTTGCGGGGGCAGCCCGTACCCGAAGAGCTTCTTGGACCGAGGATGTTCCTTGCAGGCATAGACGATATAGAATATGTAAGCCTTGCTTCATTTCATGTTGTCCCCCGAGGCATTGACGGCCCCTTGCGTCTGCTGAAGAGACCGTAGGGAGTCCGTAAGCAAGTTCTCCTGTCCACCATCAAGAACTCTGGTGCCTTCCCCTAGACCTCCAGTTACCTAGGTTACCAACCATAAATTATGTACCCAAGTAACCTACTATTTAGGAAACCCTAAACCCTAAACCCTACTATTTAGGTAACTGGAGCCCTGGGGTCTGGTTCCATGACGAGCAAAGCAAGGCAAGGGCCTGGGCCGCACTCTGCGTCGTCTGCCTCGAGAGTAGGGCTTCCGGGATCTGGGCTCTTGTTACTTGTTAGGGGATTTTTATTTCAGTTACCATAATGGGGATCTATAGTCCAGTAAGTAGTAATAATGGTTTCCTTACTAAAGTTGATTTATAAATTAAATCGCCTAACAAGAGTACAGGGATGGCTATACTATGACTATACTAGGAGCTGGTGACAGTTCCAGGGTCTATGTCGCGCAGCTACGACTTCTGTATCTGTCCACTCAATGCCCAGCCCTTTTCTTCATGTCAGCACCCCATGTTGTTTTGTCGCGTGGTACGACTCAGTGCTTCATCCCTGCGCCCTGGATATGGTGCAATTCAGCCGCTGTGTCAGGGTGTCGACCGTCTGGCTATACGTCAGCGTGTCAGCAGCACCTGCGAACCAAAGCCAGCTTTCAGTCGAATATGGAGGTCTGAACTGATAGAAATAATACAGCCTGATGGTGATAGTCCCGATATGCCTGTACTGTTACAGTATGACGCATGCTAGCATTTGCTTCACTGGGACATGATTGTCATCAGCCTTAACGACGATTCTTACAACCAAGGTGGTTGTAACAACTACTGACTAGTGCTGCTTACTCTTTATATCGTTTGTATTGTTATTGCCGTTATTACTATTATTTCCATAATGATAAGAAGCATTGTGGCAAGCAAGACAAACCCAACAAGTATTACCCATTTTCACAGTTGCTAGCATCATTGCATTTCTTATGCTGTTGTCATGCATACTGTGCTACTGTCTCGGTTTTATTAGAACTCCGAAACCCTGCACCCCAAACCATGAACCCAATCAAACGCCTTTTTCCACGGGCTTGAACTGAGCTCGCCCGGCCACGCAGCACATCGCACTCATGGCGATATGCGCAAGGCTATCAAACACCTAAACTCTAAACCCTTTTGCTGCAAACCCTTAACCCTAAACCCCAAAGCTGCAAAGCCTAAACCCCCTCAAAGGGAGCGTTAAAAGGAACCGCCAAACCCCTTAACCCTAGAAGGAAGCCTTAGAGGAACCCCCAAACCCCAAATAGATCTGGAGCTTTTTGGTCGCATCTCGCCTCGCCGCACCGGCGTGAAGTGAAAGTCGGTCCCGGCTTCGATTTGCAAGGCACCTGCAAACGGGCCGTCATAGTTTGAACATGCATGGGCCATTGAAAGGGATCTACAAGGGTTACTAGCAGGGTTTAATATAGGGGCCATGATAATTTGCATGAGGGTCCTTCTAAAGGGGTCTACAAGGGCAGCTATGGGGGTTTTAGGTTTAGGGCCTGAATAAGTACCAAAGAACAGGGTTTTGGGGCAAGCTATTAAAAAGGAATCAAAAGGATTCTTTTTGGCCCAGAGGTTCGGGTTTAGGGTTTCGCTTCGCGCGCTCGCTCAGGGCAGGCAAGGTTTAGGAAGTTTAGGGTGTCGGGTGTAGTTTGGAGGTTTGGAAGGGCACAGGGCATGTGTTCACTGCCTTGGGGTTAGTGCTTCCTACTTCAGTCCAGTCAAGATGATGGAGCACTGCAAAGACTGGCGCACATACAAAGACCAATCAGACAGGCCAAGAAGTCTTGTAAGCCAACACCCAAAACCCTATAAGCACACAGAGAATCAAGCAAACCGGACAGGCAAACATCCGAGTAACAAGTGACACATGATGAAAGCGATACGATGGGGGGGCCCTAGAAGTGAGCATATGACTTTCTGTGCTTTACGGGTGTCTACGAGAGCATCGGGGCCTTAACAAGAACAACACGGTTTTGAGGTATACTGCCGTTATACTACACAATAGTTGCAGCAAGGGAGTCCCAAGGACTAGTCATATACAAATACTACTTGAGACATGCTTGAGACCTCTAGATGATGAGACGTGAGCGACAGGCTGTATCTCTTCTGCAGGTAGGTTTATTCGGGCTTGGGCTGCAATGATCACAGATTGTCTATCACTGGGAGGGAGTGAGTGTGCATAGGTGCATAAACATAGATTTACATATGTACCTGCATATGTGCGCATAAGTACGTAGGCATGTATGGATGGGTGTATATATATATATATATATTTTGAGCACTCGCTCTCGACGGCGCAGGCGAGGTTTCGGGGGCAACTTGTGGCAGCCAACAACACTACCGAGTTCCATTTTGAGATCAGTAGGTTGTTAGAGCTTGCACCAGCTGTCTTACCAGCTAGCATAGACATCAGTACAGTCAAATTCAGTATATATATATATGTGTGTATACATATGTATATATATATATGTTTTGTACCAATACTTGTTCGGGTGACCGAATCCAAATTCTCCCGCTCTCAAAAGCGAATTTATGCCACCGTGCCTGATTGTTGTTCTGGGATCGCGGGCAGCACAGGCGCCTCTTGAACCATCGAGAAAGAAGAGGTAAGAATGACAGCTCTGGGCCTGCTTCTGTTCTGATGCCACAAGCTGGGTCCCAGCAAGGCTCGATTGCCTGGGAAGCAGAAATATGCAAGTTCGAAGCTCTGAAGACATTCTATCAATTGCTATTGGTGTTGTGAGCACAAGTCGCCGCATTGCTTCCTAAGTCTTCTCGAGACTTCGTCTACCTCAGGCAGCTCGAACCTGCCCGACATCAAGCCTGCGTCTTCGTACCGAAAGAACCAGAATCACGAGGCAAATTTTCCGCGCTCTCCAGCGATACCAGCTGTGCATCGTTGCGCAAGATGCTGTCACGGGCATGCCGCCATGCATCATCGAAGCACCCGTCTTCCAGGCGCTCCTGCAGAGTCTGCCTGGCGTCGGCGATTTGGGCATTGATGTGAGAACATCGGACGGAAACTGGCAAGCATGGCAGGTGAAAGCCCTGAAAACCGACATCGATGCCGCCGTGCTGCACAGCTTTTTCGTCCAGTTCGGCATCCGTCGCAAGCAAGGCCTGTACGGCGTGAGGCTTACTTCGCATTAACCCAAGAATCTGTGCACAAGCACCCGTGCCACGCTTTGACTGACTGGCGTTTTCAGTTGTCCGATGCGAGACACCCTGCAAGCTGAGAAACCCTAGGGCTCCAATTACCTAAATAGTGGGTTACTAACCATATATTATGTACCCCAGTAATCTACTACTTAGGTAACTGGAGCCCTAGCGAAAAGGGTGTAAATAGGCCAGAAGCCTGCAGCACCGCGCGGCGGACTGCTTTGTGATCATCCTCCAGGCTCTCAGCCCTGACAAGGAGATCTCTAAACCCAAAGCCCGCCAAACTTTAGCTAAGCCTATGCTTTCGAAACAAAACGGCAAACATCAGGCCCTAAATGCGACATTTCTATTCAGGGTGCACGTTTGCAAGCTTTACCCTGAGCTCGTTCCGATCCTTCACAGGCTTTGCTCCTACTGCGGCGAGGCGTCTTGGGGCTTGAAAGTTTACCTTCATCCTAAACTTAAAGACTTGTATAACGGCATCATATCAAGAAATTGAGGAAAATCCCCCAAGAAGATAGGTTTCCTAGGGTCCAGGTAGGCTCTGAGATGTTTAACATACTTGTGAGTCACATTGAGCCAATCAGGCTTGCTGAGGCTTGTTTCCGGGTGCCAGAAGCGCAAAATGACACTTTGCAAGTCAAGCTGTTGGTACGAATCCATCCGGGGGTTTCGGGGACTACATCATAGTAAAACTTAGCAAAAGGACCGAAAAGGAATAATGTCGGGTACTTATTCAGGCTTTTAAATTAGACATGGATTTAGGGTTTAGGTTCGGATCTATAGGAGTATAGCCTCTCGTCCAGATCCTGTACAACTCCCGGATGCAAGCCAGCGGCAGTCTTCTCATAGTCTGGCGGTCCGCAGGTGACATTAGCGCGGCAATGGCGTGGGCCGCCGAAACGCGGACGTCGATGTGGATGTCGTGTAGGCGCGGCATCCTTACTGGAATGCTCACTAAGGCGACGGCCTAGAGGCTTTAGAGGTTATAAGGCTTTAATTGAGGTTGGGGTTTTCATTGATTTTTTTGGGTTTGGGGCTTCGGGTTCAGCAGTTTGGGGTTTTCGCTTCCGGGTTTAGGATTTGGGTGAGTTGGGGTCTGGAGCTGGGGCAATGCAAGCCTTTTCCAAAGGGGGTGGACTGCCCTGCCGACGAGCAGGTTTAGGGTGTAGGAATGTCGAGTCCTCGGAGCGGATCTTTAGAGGAACTGCGCCGCGAGTTTGGATTTGTGGTTTTAGTTTCAGGGTTTAGGGTTTCAGCTGATTGGCAGAGTCTGAGTTCAACAAAACGGTCTAGGGGGTCAAGCAGGACCAGGATTAAGATGGTCGTCGACAACAGATTATTTGTGTCAGAGTTGGTGTTGTTGTACATCTGCAGATGCAGCCTACGACTCAGAACCCCTGCAGAGGCCCGAAGCATCTAGACTTGCATGGTTCCACATATCAAGCGCCCATGCTTGACCATTAACAGCCAAGGCTCAATGCATCCAGTGATGGTGTGTCGCCTGAGCCAAGTCAGTCTAAAATGGTTCAACCACCCTTTCTCTACTGACTCTACTCGTGAAGATTATTGCAGTATGACTCGACCGAATGCAGACTCCAACACCTGGCAGCAGTGCCCGACAGTGCCTCGTGGCGCAAGGCAGGGCAAGAGGCTTGTGGCGCTGTGCCTCACATGACCTGTTCCAAATGAACGGGTTCGGCATATCCACATGGAGCAAGGAACTTTAGATTCAAAACAGTTAAACGTCTAGCTATAGGCTATAGGGAGTTTTAGGGTACCTATCTCATATTCTCGGCTGCTGCCACCTTCCGGGCTGGAGAGGCGCCCAATCATGACATCGAGGACCACTCTGCTTCCACTGCCTGGCGCGTGGCTCACTTCCACGGAACCTCAAACCCACCGACCCCTAACCAACCAAGAACCCCCAAGCACGAACGTCCAATAGAGCCCATATTTACCCATTAGCCCTAAACCCTAAAAACCCTAAACCCCTAAATCCAAAACCCTAAATTAAACACTAAACCCCTTTGCATCCAGGACTCTCGCAACCAGCCGGGAAACTCCGCAAGACTAAACCCCTAAACCCCTAAACCCTGAACCCCCAAACCCTGAACCCCTACATCCTAAACACAAAAACCCTGCAAACTTTCGACTCGGGACCTGGCGCAGCAAGCCGGGGCAAGCAACGCAAGGCTGTTGCCTCAGGGGCGCAGTTGCTTTCCGGCCGTGCTGCTGCCTGCCTGTCTCAGAACCCTAAACCCTAAACCCTCAGAATGTTGCTATTTTCCGTGGACTGTAACTATGCAGACGCAATACTTCAAATTGAGCAGAACAGAACACGATAGAGCTCCGAAGACTACTAAAGTCAAGTTAGCGCTTGCCAACAGACAAGTGGACAGATAAGTGGATGGGGATCGTCGTTATGATCGCGGTATGTGTGTATATATGTATGTATGTATGTATGTATGTATGTATGTATGTATGTGCATATATATATATAATGTATATAAGTACATGTATACACAGTGGAGAGAGATATGTATATAAGGCTTTATTACCTTGTTTGCAAAGTCTAGCTGGCACATCTGTACGTATGTAATTACACGTTTATGTAGAGGTAAGTAAACCTTTAGACACATCACCTACATGTCTGTATGTATACACATCCACGTACAGGTTTAGACATGCAGACATATATGGGGGGGTTCCTAAAATAGGGAACCCTACTATAGCACCCTGAATAGTAGGATCCTTATTATCAAGGACCCCAAGATAGGGTACCCCTAACTTTCGGAAACCCCCATACTATGAAGGACAAGTCACTCGGACGTCTGGATCCACGTCGTCCAGGCAGTTGACCATACTGAGGAGCGCCTGGGCTAGTAGTCTGTCATAGTGTATGGGTAGTTCTCCAAAATTGGGTCCCTGTTTAAGATTTTAGGTCCCCAATATAGTACGGCACCCTTATAAAAAGGGACCCCTAAAAGGGACCCTAATTTAGAGAACTACCGATATACTATACGATATTATACTAGATTATAGTGAGATATGGCATAGTATAGGAGCGCCTGGATGTCGCCCTTTGGTGCAATCTTTGCCAGGACCTCCTCAGCTTGCATAGCTCTGCAGATCCAAAGGGCAGGGGGTAACAAACAAAACATGAAGCCTTTAGGGTTTAGGGTTTTAGGGTTTAGAATTTAGGGTTTCGGTTTTTTTTCGGGTTTAGGGTTTAGCATGCCTGCTGAGGGTAAAATGTAACGATAAGGTACATACACACCTTCTTGGATATGCGTTCAAAGTTGTCGGCCGGACGCATCTCACCGGCAGCCTAAGTAGAACAACCGAACAACCTGAGCTCAAAATCGCTGCATCCCGACATGTATTCGGCAAAGTGTCGATCGACTGACACCTCAGGGCATCTATCGTCACAAGGGCACAGTTGCAGCAAAGTAAACTTGCATCAAAGGCAGGAGGGGCAAAGCTGGTTCCAGGTCTTTCGTAGAACAAACGATGGAATTTGGGTGATGAATGGGTGGGGTTCAAGTATCCCCGCAGCCTGATGTCACGGTCCGCATCGTGCAGACAGGCGATGGCAACGGCTGCAGCACTTTCGTCCCCAACTTCTGCAACATTTGCCATAGCCTGTGCAAGGGGAGGGTGTTCTCGAGGATTCAAATAGACTTCAAGCACCGAAGCATCGCTTCACTGGTCGAGGCTTGTTTGACGGTATCGCTAAGGCTAAGACTGAATGAGCCTTGCTGCTGTACTATGTAGCTGCTGATGCACACTCCCGCTTCCGGGGCGCGGCTGATTGCGGCTGCGTGCGGCGGGAGAGTGCGCAGCGGTACATCTGGAAAGCAAACAACAGCATTGGCACAAACCTCATAGACTCCTTCGGTACCCTTTGACTCCAAGCCCCCCGATAGCCCTTTGTAGCAGTTCAAGCAAAAACTAACTGATTTAACCCGCCTTGCAAGGGTCGAGACTACCCACCTGTCGATGTCTGCCCTCTCCATACTACCACCTGTAAACCTCGAGCACTTCAACATACAGCGCAACTGCACCAACATGACCCTGAAGTGACATTACCAAGAGCAATACCAGGAGAAGGCGTGAAGCCTTTTGGCAAAGCCAACTTTGATGAAAACGGAGGTAGCCTCTGTATTGCTGTATTCATTACATGCTGTAGCTCATTGCTGTTGTCTATGTCGAAGACTGCATGCGGCCCATACAAGAACTGATAAGCGTCAGACTGATGTTGCCCTTATCAAAATCGACACGCTGCAATTAGCATTATGGTAAATCGCTACACGCGCCCTGGTCTGAAACCTAAACCCCAGCTCTGCAATCGCTCAAGGCTCACCACACCCTAAACCCTAGACCCTAAATCCTAAACCGTTGAGGGTGTAGGATTTAGGGTTTTTTTTTTAACACCTCTTTTCCGTCTGCCCAGGAGGAGTCAGGAATGCCAGTCTGGCTGAGGCGGGAACCGGGAGGCAAGCCACTACGACAGATTCACCACCCACCACTCGCTTCCCCCACAGAGGATTTAGGGTTTAAGGTTTAGGGTTTACCCGGCCTTCAAAGCGAACTGTCGCGCCACCCAGTCGCTGGAGTCCAGCAGCGAAGCGCAGGAGTGGACGGCCGTCCTGCGGCCTCACAAGCAACAGCATGTTCACCTCACTTCGAGTGAGATTGCGAAGAAGAAACATGCCAATATGAGCACTTTACTTTAATGGCCATGGTACTGTGGCGATGTTAACAACAAACGATACACATAAAAAATGATGCTGATGATAGCAGTTACTGTAACAACGGAGTTTGCGAACATGAAGGATGCCTTTTCGCCATCACAATGGACTACATTCAGACCGTGTACACGGCACAAACCACCACATCCAACAATGCAATAGCAGCATCAATAACAGTAGCGATGACATCAGAACAACCAAATAAATACCAATATCAATACCAACAAGAAACCCGAGAGTTCACTATAATCAATACAACACGAACATACAACAAATGCAGCAATGCAACCCAACGCTCGCACCACCACAACACCCACCACGGCCGCCTCCAACACAGCAACAGCAACAACAACCCGAACCTCGGACAGCAAAACTAAACGAGCACAATCAAGCACACGAAACAGTAGAAACTCAACAGCGACAACAATAACAGTACCAACACAAACAGTAAGCATGCCAACGACAACGCAGCACGTTGGCAGTCTGCGTTTCGGACCTGGATTCTGCAAGAAATCTGTGGTAGTGGCAACTGTACACATCTAAAGGACGTAAACCTGGCATCTGAGTGCAGGCGGCCGCAGCAACTTCGGTTCGCCACGATTTGAAAGCAACAACTGCCTTCTTCAGAAGCTGCCACCGCGACAGGAAGCGCTTCCACAGCAGTTTCCCTCGGCAAGACAAGCGCAGAAGTGTTTAATCATTGAAATCATCATAATCATAACAATCGTGCTAGCAGTTTTCGCTACAACAGCAGCGATAACGAAAGTCTGGACCTGGGCGTGTAATGGTGGCGGACAGAAGGGATTGTCCCCTTACTACTACTGCTACTACTACTGCTGCTACTACAACTACAACTACCCTACAACTACAACTACTACGAACGCATAAGTCTAGTCTTATTCGGTATAGTACCAATGATATTTACAGCTACCGCCACCATTGCTACACGTCTTGATTGAACACTTAAGGTCCAAGCCGGATGCGCCGGTCACGATGCCGCAAGAGAGCGACCAGCTTCCAAACAGCCGATGAATCACCTGAAAAGGTTGTCAAAGTTATACAGGTCGGTAGATAGATAGATACATAGCCAGATAGATAGATAGATAGATAGATAGACAGACAGGTAGGTAGATAGAAAGAAAGATGTATAGATAGATAGATAGATAGATAGACAAAAACAAATAGATCGCCATGTCTCTCTCCCTTCGTCTCTCTGCTCCCGCATGTATTGACTCCGTTTGCAATTCCTGCATGAGAGCGAGTTCCTATGCCAGACATCGATGTTTGCTTTAGTTCATCGCTGAGTCCCTGAATCTCCCATCTCCCTTCTCTTCTTGTGTATTCATGTGTTTGTACTTATCTTACACGTGCACGCATACATACATATACACATACACAAATACGTGCGCGCGTGATGTGCACGTGTGTGCGTCCGTGTGTACGTACGCAGAAACGTAAAAGCAACTACATACCTTCGTCCCGATATGCGCATATAAGCCGCATATATTGCGTGAATCCTGACATGCTCTTCCGAGTAAGCTGCTGCTTGACAGCAGCACACCTCATGCGGGAAACGAGATGCTGTGGGTGTTTGCGCCACATGCTAACGGCCACAAGCGCTTGCAGGTAGTCCCGCAACAGCTGCCTTGTGCAGTTATATCACAGAAATTTTTTTAGGCCCTACAGAATCTGCAGTCTTCCGATATCTTCGATTCCAACTGAAGCCATCCCTCCCTGTCGCGGCCCTATCTGTTGAAAATGGTTGAGATCTGTTGAATGTCCTCCAAAGCAGAGACCTCCTGCGGTGTGTCTTACAGTACCATCCGGTGTTCATTGGCCGATGCAGGAATCGGCGAGCCTGGCTCCACGAGCGCTGGCAATGCGCAGCTCAATGCCTGCGCCCAAGCATCGTTGATCAAAGCACGTGGAACGAACATTCGGGCTTTACTTGATACAGCCAATCAAGCAACGGTTTGTGATGAAGCTTGGCACTGCCGAAGAACTTGCTGATATTTTGGCAAGGAATGCAGGGCATACGGTTGTCAGCGAAAAGGGCGCTCGATTTCGAAGGACCACCTTGTGCCGGACATCTTCCTCAGGTGAGGATAAGCCAGCCAGAACTCCATCGATTGCACGCTCGTTGCCTGAATGGGCAGCGAGACGGCGAGACTTAAGCCCCTCCAGCGATTCTTAAGTTCCTGTCTACGGCTCAAAGATCTTTGCATCACGGTCATGATTCGTGCCAGGATTACACAGCACACTTCCGGATGAAAACCAAGCCTCGCTCTGCCACATGTGGCAATCTGCCGAGGGCGTGGCACCTGGGCGTGGGGTGTGCCCTCAAGCTGCCATTCAAGGAGGCTAATACCAGGGTCTTCATAAGTTGAATAGGGTCTCACTGCCAAGCCGGAACAAACCGAGCACAGCCGGTCCATTTGGGAGCCCTTCGCCCAGTGGCACTGGCCCTACTCGGACAGGCGGCCGCAGCTCGACCAGGGTCGGAGTTGTCTTCGTAGCTGAACCGTCCACAGGTGCACGAGGAGGTTTCTCTGTCTTTGCTCGCGTACCGGGAGTTAGGCGGCAGTCCCTGGGCCTGCCCCCAGAGCCGTGGCGACAATAAGCGGACGGCTTGACGAACTCTGGAGCGAGTGTGCCTCGCAGCATACTCATGCGCCGCCGGCACAAAAGAACCTGCTGCGGCAGTTTGACATTGCGCCTGGCTTCCTGGATGACTGGGCGGCTGAGGCCGTGCCTGCTTTGGGGTGCATCGGAATGCGCTTCTATTCAGGAACCCGAGGGAATTCTTTTGGCTACTCCTTAGGCCTTAGGCTGCTGTATGAGTGACACGGCAGGGGCCTTCGGAGCGCTAGCAATGATCCAGCTGACCTTGTGGGGCCGGGTGAACTTGAGGCCTGCAGAGTATATTACCGTGACAAAGTCCAACATCAATATAGGGGGCCCTTATAGAATTAGTATAGGGCTTTGGGTTTTATATTATTATACTATCAGCAAAAGTCAAAAAGGGACTCCCCAAACAGCAAATTCAGGCATGCAAAAGGTTTGGCCATCTTCACCAGGGCACTTCACCTGCACTGTAGTCGCATCGGCCACCAAGGAAGCGATCTCCTGCGAAGCAAAGGCGACAAATGCAGGACCCAAGGCGCCAGCGGCTCAAGACCTCTCCGATTTCAACCCTCCACCTCTCGAACGGGCTAGTCTCTACAGGGTTTGAGAGTTTCATGCATGCCCCAAGTTTTGATCAAAGGTTATCCATCCCGGTCTGAGGCCGTGTGCAGGCCGATTTGCCTCGATGACGTGGTCTTTGCCCTTTCCCAAGGCCACGAGGGCGTCGATGGCAGCAAGATGTACCTCTGGGACCTCAGTGGGGGTCGGCTTTGGGGCTTTAGGTTCAGTTGTCGGAGCCTGTTGAAAGCACAGCTCTCAAGGCCAAAAGGGCTAAGAGTAGGGCAAGAAGCTACTTTCTGCATAGTTGCTCTGAACCATCTACGTCCATCTATGGTCACTTGTAGTCGGGCGCATTTATGTATGTACGTCTGCTGACTGTTGCTTGGGTGTTGGTTTCATGTTTCAATTCGATGCATGCCAAACGGCTGCGCCCGAACCGGACACTATATAAGCCCTGAAAGCAGAAAGCAGATGTACGTATGCATGTATGTATGTATGTATGTATGTATGTATGTATGTATGTATGTATGTATGTTATGTATGTTATGTATGTTATGTATGTTATGTATGTTATGTATGTTATGTATGTTATGTATGTTATGTATGGTCTGTCTGTCTGTCTGTCTGCCTGCCTGCCTGCCTGTCTGTCTGTCTGTCTGTCTGTCTCTGTATGTGTGCATGTATGCATGCATGTGTGCATGCGTTTGTGTATCGTCCATGATGTAGGGGCCTGAATCATGGCTATATCATTTTGAGGTATACCACTTCTGAAACTCACTAACTAAACCCTGTAAATCCACAAAATCCCACAAAACCCTGGTATAAACCCCCTCTATCATGCCACGAAACAAGAACCATATACAACCCTTATCAAAACCGTTGTGAAACCCTTCTGAAACCCTTCTGAAATCCTTTCCGCTGCTATGTTTACATGGGCTTTGCTTAGGCTCTGGCCGGGATCTCTAGGCCTTGCAAGGCGGCACGAAGTGCACCTTACGACACTATAGGGCAAGGTTTAGTGAAGCTTTTGGGGCTTTCAGGGTTTAGGGTTAAGGGTTTGGGGTTTAGGGTTAAGGGATGTTTCGGGTTCAGGGTTTCGGGTTTTGGGGTATAAGGGAGTTTAGGTGGGTTTTGGGTTCTGGCTCTCACAACTGGGACTAGCTGGGCGAGGCGTTTCAGCCACGATGATTCATCAAGCAGCCACACAAGCACACTTGAGTCGTTTGTTGAATTACATAGTTCCCTACAGTCAAAAGCACAACAAGGATTGATTTTTTTTGCCTAGGGTGTTAGGAATTCGAGGTGGTTGGGGCTCAGAGAAAACATCTGGGAGACTCAAGGGAAGTGAGTACATGAGGGCGAAAGGACACTTGCCGTCCTTCTGAGTATACAAGTGCAGTACAACCATCTAAGAATGCCGCACTCAAAATCCAAGTTGTTCAAGCGGCAACTAAAAATTCTAAAGGCTAAGCGTGAGCACATCGATCCATCTCTTGCGAAAGCATTTTTCAGCTTCTGAAAAGAGCACACGAGTGTGCCGAAAATGTTGCTGAGCTGCTGAAATTGGGAAACGTCGAAATGCAGGAGTGTCGTGTGTGCGAGGCACGAGAATGAAGCTGGATCATTTGCGAAGCGCCGTAGGGCTTTGGGCTTCAATTTCGAGGGCCAGCGGCTGACACTCCCGTTGCGTGCTGCAGTCGCCCCTGGCAAGCGCAGCCATTTGATGCTGCCCAAGAGCTCATGGAAATCACTGGAGGTCATGGTCGACATTCAAGCCCTGAAGTTCTCATAGTGCTCTGTGCAGCATGCAAGTGTGGGATTGAATTGGCACGGCTGTATGGCCGATAACACAGAAAGGCTGCTTCAAACTTGCACTGGTGCCCATGCACCGGGTGACGTCTGCACCCCGTCTCTTGACGGCGTCACTACGTGTGGATCTAGGATGAGCGACTAGTTACTATCTATAGTCTCCATTTTAGTTCCTTTTTCGGGTTACCCTTTAGGAACCTTAATATAGATTTGGTTAAACCAAAAAAAAAGGAGCTACAATGGAGACCATAGGTAGTGCCACGGAACGGACTGGCATTCGCGGAAAAGCCATAGAATCGGGGCAGGGAGGATGAGCAGCTTCTCCCGGGGATCCTTTAAAAAGCAGCTGCTTTCCTCCAAGCTCCAGTAAGCTCCTCAAAGGTAAGGTCAGGGCACCTTGCAGGGCAACAAGATTGTAGGCTCAAATTTCTGCAATCATAGAATTAACTGATATCATTCAATACAATTTAATTTGATCTAATCTAGTACTGTTCTGGCATTTGTTGTGTAGTATACCCGAATATAATACTCTGACAGCGTGAAGCGTGCACCAACATCGAAGGCAGGCGTGCCTGGAAGACTTAGATACAGGCAACCTCCGCTGGCAAAGCTCAACATATCTCAAAATGTTGCCTACCACAGCCGCTCAAATGCGACCCAAAGCAAAGCGCTGAGTGGAAACAAACCCACGGCGCAAAATGGATGATTCACTGGCCATGCCCTATGCCGACCGTGACTTCCTAACCTTAACAATGCAGGGTCAAAATCCAGAGTCTCAAAACTCGGAACAGAACACTAAAACATGTTTGTTTCAGCACGGGCTGTGGGTCATGAGACACCAGCAAACTTGAAACTGAAACGCCAAACCAAGGTGCCATAAAGTCCGGTGTGGGCGATCGCCGGCCTGCCATTGCCTCGCCTCGCCACTTCCAATCGATCTTCGCATCGGGCTTGTAGGCCAGCCTGCCCAGTAGGGGAGAGCTGAAGAGAGGCTACAGAGAGTCTATACACACATTGCATCTCATGAATGTCGTCCACAAAAGAAATGCACAAAAACATATGCACTGAGCATAGATGTGGATGTAGACAAATATAAATATATGTAGGGAGAGCAACGAAACTCACATAGGTCTCGTCTTGAAAAAGCAATGTCTGCACACAACAGCTTTATTGGTGTTGTAAGGCACGTCTTGCTTGCCCGGTGGCTGTTGACATATACAACAAATCAAGTTGCAATCAGTCCCGCCGCAGTCAGCAGAGAAAGTATGCTTGTGCGACGCTAGACTCTGTGTATACAACATGAGCACTGCGCCGGGAATTCCTTGCCGCGAACTGCTGATATTCGTCACCTGGTAGACAAAGATTGATGACTCCAGGCCGACTCTAAATAACAATGGCAATGACAATCAGTTGTATCATAACCTCAAGAGCTCTTTCAGGCTCGATTATGAGACGAACAGGCTCGGCGAGTTTGACACCTTTACGAGGAAATTCCTGAATCTCTCTATCGCCGGAAGAAATTGGAGCAGGATTTCCAGTTCTTTCTCGGAGCTTCCTTTTCCTGGACCCTGGAAGCCGTTACATGAGCTGCTTCTCTTGCTCCTTAAGTTGGAACTTGTAGGAGCCATCTGGTTTTGGTATTGTCGGGAACAAAAATCTTTCACGTGTGCTAGTACGACATAAAGGAGCTCCCTTTTTGCTCTTCTCATGTCTCTATACAGAGAAGTCACCCCTCCTAATTCTTGCAAAGCGGCTACAAAAGGGACAAATCCTACTAGGATAGCGAGTGGCTGGCAAATTAAAGTAGCTCATCCCATTCCTTAGTGGGAGACTCACGAGTTGTTATGTGAGCCCTCGAGGAGATTTCTTATAAGACCATAGGCGCTCTCCGCTGTATCCCCTTTTTGGAGCTGGACGGGCGCTTCTTTCAACTACTGCTGATGACATAAATCCTGCATTACCTTGAGGGCACTAAACTATGGGAATTATGGCATATTCCTCATTGTGGGTAATGCAGGATTTGCGTCATCAACCGTAGCCTTGCTTGTAGGAGCTCTCTATGGTCTCCCTGTTTAGGAAAGTTCGTGTGTTACCTCTAAAGGAGCCGGCAGGTTGGCAATTTACTCGAGCGAAGCAAGCTATCTCCTCGCGCCGCAGGGAAAGGTAGGGTTCAGGGTTTAGGGTTGACAGAAAGTCTATCTCTCTTGTTGATCTAACAACACCAAGAAGGCGGACATGGCCTCACTGCTTGGTGGTATGTCTCCTGGGCCCGGGCTAACAGTTTTGAAATCTTTGCTACAAAAGCTGTCCCCTGCTCACCTTCACGAAAAATCTTCAGCTTTCGCGAAGGCAACTCACTCCGAAACCGTTCTGCACTTCGCTTACCAACAGGTCGAAAAAGGCCGTTGGAGTGTCTTCCACGGGGCCAGGCTTAGTATCATCATCAGTGCCACTGCCAATGCTGCAACGTTTGTCGCTCGGGTTGCTTGGGCTTGTGCGCTTACGTACGACAACGATGCGAGAGAAAAAGGCAGCCGTAGGTGCAGTTCAGCCGAGCTGCAGAACTGACCAAGCAGATCCTCAGCTGCAGATGGCTCCATCCGGCTGCCGATCGGGTAGATACTAGTAAGAGGACACAGCCCATGGTAATCACTTTCGCAGGGTCCGAACACAGGGCTGCGGTAGGCTCCGATGCTTGTCCAACCCATCTTCCCAAGTGCATCCTACCCCTGCTCCCGCTGCCGGATCCGAATTCCAGGAATGCCGTCTGACTTTCCGATTCACAGCCGAAGTGCTCGTAGCCGTCTGCATCTTTGACGATTGCCACAGCTAAGGTTCCAGACTCAAGCTCCTGCCATGTCGAGGCAGACGTTCAGACTTGGCATGTTGGACGGCTTAGGATACGAGATTGTGCCTGAATTGATTCTTTTAAAGTTCAGAATTCGATTTTAGGGATTTAGGATTTACTGACACAACGTTGGTGGTCAGCACGCTGGAAGGTTCGGAGAGCTCAACAAGTTCCAGCTGGATCAAGAATGGGAGAACGGCTGCCTAGCCGGATTTCGTGCCTTTGCACTGAGTCACTGAGGCCTCCCTCTCTCTCTCTCTCGCGTGCTCAGGGGATCCCGTCAGACGCAACGCTCGTTCTCTGAAGGCCTCCCTAAACCCTAAAACCTGAACCTTAAACCCCAAATACTCACGTCGGGACAAGAGCTGCTCAAACAAAGGGACAGCATACATGAGTCCCCCAGCATTTGGTGCGTCGTAAAGCCAACTTCGTAAACCCTAGACACTCCGTTCAAGAGCTGAGAGCAGAGCAGGTGGCGGCTGGAGAGGATTGCTCCGGAGTTTCTCCAGCTGCTCCTCACATCGGAATCTCACAAGCCCTAAACCCTAAACTCTCAAATCCCAACCCTAAACCCCACGCCATAAACCCCCCCAGACCCTAAAGCCGGCCTGATGGCTTCATGGCAGATCTCAGGTTTCCGAACTTCCGAATCAATGACACTTGCTAGCAATGCAGCAGGAAGTGTTGTCCGGCTCTGACTCGTCCAATGAGCAACCTAGCATCACTAACGTCTACACTACTAGGGCAGGGTTTAGGCCTGAGGGGCGGGCTATACTCGGGTTTAGGGCTTATGGATATGTTTATAGTAACCCTAGCTTTAAAAGCCGAAACACTAACTTAGACTTTAGGCGAATACTTCCACTCAGGTATCTTTGTCGGCAGAAGTCCAATCGAAACGACCGGCCGACGCTGCTGCACAACTTCACCCAACCATGCTGCCCGGTAGGGTTATCTAAACATCAACTTGTATAGCATAATATGCGAGCAAACCCCAATGATATCTAATGCCGCAGAGCGATGGCGCACCCCAGGTCTTGAAGCGAAACATCTTTCTACCCAAAGCTTCTCTCATCTTCCCTCTGCACAGCACACAACTACATCCACCCCAAAGCCTGAACTCGCTTCTTTCGGGGGGGGGGTACTTTGAAGACGTTGCCCTGAACTCTATGACTCTATGACTCTATAACTCTGCAAACCATTAAGCCCAACACGTCCTCTGGGGAGGGTGAGCAAGCCATGGGTGGCAGGCCGCGCATCCGCCGCAAGGCCGGCAACTCGTTGAATTCCTGACACCGTCGTCGTCGTCGTCGTCGTAGTAGTAGTAGTAGTAGTTGTAGTAGTAGTAGCAGCAGTAGTCGTCGTAGTCGTAGTCGTCGTAGTTGTAGTAGTCGTCGTCGTAGTAGTAGTAGTAGTAGTAGCAGCAGCAGCAGCAGGAGGAGTAGTAGTTGTAGCAGTAGCCGTAGCAGTAGCAGCAGCAGTAGCAGTAGGAGTAGTAGTAGTAGTAGTAGTCGTCGTCGTCGTCGTAGGAGTAGGAGTAGCAGTGGGGGTAGTAGGAGTAGTAGTAGTAGTAGTAGTAGTAGTAGTCGTAGTAGTAGTAGTAGTAGTAGGAGTAGGACTAGGAGTATGAGTAGGAGTAGGAGTAGGAGTAGTAGTAGTAGTAGTAGTAGTAGTAGTACTAGTACTAGTAGTAGTAGTAGTACGTAGTACGTAGTACGTAGTACGTAGTACGTAGTACGTAGTACGCAGTACGCAGTACGTAGTACGTAGTACGTAGTACGTAGTACGTAGTACGTAGTACGTAGTACGTAGTACGTAGTACGTGGTACGTAGCACGTGGTACGTAGTACGTAGTACGTAGTACGTAGTACGTAGTACGTAGTACGTAGTACGTAGTACGTAGTACGTAGTACGTAGTACGAAGTACGTAGTACGTAGTACGTAGTACGTAGTACGTAGTATGTAGTACGTAGTACGTAGTCCGTAGTACGTAGTACGTAGTACGAAGTAGTAGTAGTAGTAGTAGTAGTAGTAATAAAGAGTAGTAGTAGTAGTAGTAGTAGTAGTAATAAAGAGTAGTAGTAGTAGTAGTAGTAGTAATAAATAGTAGTAGTAGTAGTAGTTGTTGTTGTTGTTGCTGTTGCTCTGTGGGGACCGATCCGTGCTGTGCTGCCCCGTACTCTTTCAGCCGTCGAGCACTTGAGGCTCCCACCCCAACTCCACCGTGCAGGTGTGCCTGCGACGGCTGTCCCGTATCCTGTTGGACCGACGAGCACATGAGAGGTTTGAGAGACCTCCACACAGCAGGACCACGGTCTGAGCTCTCAACGAATCACTGCCGCACGTTCTCCGTACGTGTGTGGAGAAACGATGCACGAGCCTTATAATATAGCACTAGTTGCACCGCCAAACACTGGTTCAGAGTGAGGTCCTTTTCTGAGATGCAGCAGTTCCGAGTATTTTTTGCACTGCAGCATTGTGTGCTGCCAGGCCCTGCTAGGCAAGAGAAGTGATTGATGTGAAATCAAGAAAAGCACCAGGGTAAGCAGAGCCACTGAAGTGCTGTTAAAACCATGTTCGGCCCGAGGCCCTGGTGTTGGCCTGTGGCAGCCTCAGCGCCAGCTCCAGTTCCAAGAGTTCGAGGAGGCAGTAGCCCATGATTCTTTCTGGTCACACCAGTTTTCGCTAGACCACTGTCGCCGCGACCCGCTGGACTTATCTTTCTGCCTCTTTTCGGAGACTGGTTCCGTTGCCTCGGACTGTCGTTTGTCCGGGCGGAGGTAGAGCATCTTCGCTTTGGTGTCCCCGAGCTTGTGATCGATGCGGAGTTTGCAACAACCTTGCCGTTCTTGTCTGGCTGAAAGATAATGATGTGGTTGATAAGACCGCAAGATCGGCAGGTCTGATCGTAGATGGACTCGATGGTGGAGGCCACGACTTCAATATTGTCATCCGTTTCAAGGATGTCAACCATGTTTTCCTGGTCCCAGAGACGTAGAAACAGGGAGCCAAGAAGCCCGAAGAATCCCGTGATAAGAGGGAGTTCGCGTCCCCTGGCCCCTGGCAGTCATGGTGTCGGCCCAGGTCGTGCCTGTCCGCTCAGCCTTCAAGATTGGCGCCAGGGAGGATTCGCCAGAATCTTGATTCGTTTCTGCCACATTCTGAAATGCTCGGAGGCCGTCAAGCCACCAATGACGGCCTTCTCGCTGCTGATCAGAGTGGTGGCAAACGCATGGCCCCCCTCGAACATATGATCAGATTGGCATACCTGTACGACTCGGTCACGTTTGGGGATGGCCGCATTTTGACCGGAGTCATAGTCAAGCATGGCCTGGATGTCGACGGGACCGCGGTATTTGACGTCTGCCCTCGAGATCGTTTCCACAACCGGAAATGCCGGTCTTTCCACTGGTCTTGGCGCCGGAGGCGCGTTGCAACTTGTAGATTTCAGTCATGCTTCAAGCTTCGATCTTCCAACCGGTTTCACTAGTGAGTGCTTAGTGCGGTAATTGCCTGCCAAGCGGGGGAGTCCGCTCGCACAGGGTTCAATTGCAAATTGTTGTTGTTGTTGTTGCTGCTGCTGTTGTTGTTGATGTTGATGTTGATGTTGATGTTGATGTTGATGTTCATGTTCATGTTGATGTTTTTGTAGCCGCCGCAGAAGCAGAGCAGCAGCAGCAGC